ACTATTTAGAAAAGTTGGACATGCACAAGTCCATGGGGCTGGATCTAATGCATGAGAGTGCTTAGGGAGTTGGTTGATGTGACTGCAGAGCCGTTAGTGATCAACGGCTCAATGTCTAGTTGGCAGCTGGCATCAAGCGGAGTGTCCCAGGGGTCTGTCCTGGGGCTGGTTTTGTTCAACGTCTTCATTAATGATCTGGATGATGAGATGGATTGCACCCTCAGCAAGTTTGCAGATGACATTAGGCTGGGGGGACAGGTAGATATGCTGGAAGGTAGGGACAGAGTCCAAAGTGACCTAGACAAATTGGAGGATTGGCCATATCTGATGAGGTTCAACAAGGACAAGTGCAGCATCCTGCACTTAGGGCAGAAGAATCCCATGCACTGCGACAGACTGGGGACTGACTGGCTAAGTGGCAGTTCTGCAGAAAAGGATCTGGGGATTACAGTGGATGAGAAGCTGGATATGAGTCAACAGTGTGCCCTTGTTGCCAAGGCGGCTAATGGCATATTCGGCTGCATTAGTAGGAGGATTGCCAGCAGATCATGGGAAGTGATTATTCTCCTCTATTTGGCACTGGTGAGGCCACATCTGGAGTACCGTGTCCAGTTTTGGGCCCCCACTACAGAAAAGACGTGGACAAATTGGAGAGAGTCCAGCGGAGGTCAATGAAAATGATTAGTGGGTTGGGGCACATGACTTATGAGGAGAGGCTGAGGGAACAGGGTTTATTTAGTCTGCAGAAGGGAAGAGTGAGGGGGGATTTGATAGCAACCTTCAACTACCTGAAGGGGGGTTCCAAAGAGGATGGAGCTGGGCTGTTCTCAGTGGTGGCAGATGACAGAAGGAGCAGCAATGGTCTCAAGTTGCAGTGGGGGAGGTCTAGGTTGGATATTAGGAAAAACTATTTCACTAGGAGGGTGGTGAAGCACTGGAATGGGTTACCTAGGGAGGTGGTGGAATCTCAATATGTAGAGGTTTTTAAGGCCTGATTTGATAAAGCCCTGGCTGGAATGATTTAGTTGGGGTTGGTCCTGCTTTGAGCAGGGGGTTGGACTACATGACCTCCTGAGGTCTCTTCCAACCCTAATCTTCTATGATTCTATGCAGGCCGCAGGAAAGTGGCACAGGGAATTAGAGCAGCGGCATGGCTTTGATGGGCTGGGACCTGGACTAGTGGGCAGGCCTATGTCCCCCCCACCTCCTATTAGCCACTGGGGAAAGTGGCCTGGACTTTGAGGCACCCCAGAAGGGGAACTGAACTCTTTAGTGTCCCAGCACGAGAGCTGAGGCCTGAAACGCCTAGAGATGGCGAGGACATTGCCTCTAGGGGGAAGCCCTGGAATACGGCTTGACAGTAGGGCTGAGACCATTGATAGACTACAGGACCTAAGCCTAGTGAGGGCTACAAGGAGAGAAAGTGCAGGTCCGCATACACTCAACCATAGGGCGCTCACGAGAGGTGAATGCACCCCACTACAAACAGCAATTTTGTTATTTTTGAACAGATTTCATTTCCCTTGCAATTTCTTTCCTCCCACTTAATTTTTAACTTTTGCAATATCAAAGACAATTCTCTGAAACTGAGTTTAGTATCTCTAGCTAGTTTTATTTCAAAGTTTAGAAGGGTCTCCCACTTCACCAGAGTTCTGCATTATCTTCTGAAGGCAAGAATGTCCAAAAGAAATTTTTTTTAGCATCAAGGTAAATCAGCAAGTGGCTATATGAGGAAAGGTTTTTAATACAAAGGTGGGCTGTCAGCATAAGTTTTCTTTATTTTTAAGAAAAAAAGCGTGATGCTAGCAGATCAAGTGTCAGCTCCTGCCAAGACTGCAGGCATTAGTTAAAAACTGACAAACTCACAGCTGGAAACCAGACCAGTTCAAAATAGGTATTAGTCTTACAAGAATTATTTAGTGTTTAGACTTGATGAAATACTTGTAAGTTGCTGCATGCATTAACCTCACTTGTAATGCCTGTATTCTATGCTATAAAGAAATATGTAAATTTTTGCTTTATAACTTTAAAAATGTTTGCTCTAAACTTGTGAAGCCAGATGGGAAGAGTGTCCCGTCACCCCCATCCCAAAAACTATCAAAATCAGAGGGGCCATCAAGAATCATCGCAATACACAGAATGACCTTATTGCACCCATGGTGAAGTATGTGCAGAAGGCCTCGTCCCATTCCTTTGAATGCTCGAAGAGTTAAATAAAAATAGTTAATGTGAAGATTTTTCATCCCTTTGCTGTGTGAACTCTCACAGGTCCAGAGAAACCACACTGAAGTCAGAGATCCCGAGGGCTTATCACCTGGGTCCCCCTGAAAGAGAATTTGAATTGACAGGTCTCTACAACTCTGTCACTCTTAGGATTTAGATGGTAACTCATTTGTATATCTAGGTTTGCTTGCTTTAACCAATATAACTATTTCTCTTTCCTAGTTACTAAACCTTTACATAATTTATTACAGGATTGGCTAGGGGTGTTGTCTTTGGTGCAAGACTTAGGGTACCAAGTGAACTGGGGTAAGTGACTGGTCTGGTGGGACTGGAAGCAACCTGAATGTGGTGTGATTTTTGGTGTATGTGACCATTTACCACTAAGTCCAGTTTGTCTAGGTGACAAGATAGACTGGAGAGTCCAAAGGGACTGACTGTGACTCCATGGTAAGATTGTTACAGTGATCCAGGAGCTCACATTTGTTACTGGCTTGGTAAAATCTAATGATAGAACGTACCTCCAGTTTGAGGTATCTGCCCTGTTTTTGACACTCTGCCCTGAGGAAGGCACTCAGTCGTGAGCCACTCCAGACAGCGTGACAGAAAATAATTAATATATTTTTAAATGAAACTGTTTAAATGAAGTATTCTAACAAACTGCATATTACCCTTTTGAAAATAAGTTGGAAGCATTTAAAATTAATCTGTAGTTTAAGAATCTTTTGAAAACATCACTTTATCAATGTTGATAAATGCAAAGTAATGCACATTGGAAAACATAATCCCAACTATACATATGAAATGATGGGGTCTAAATTAGCTGTTACCACTCAAAGAGCTTGGAGTTATTGTGGATAGCTCTCTGAAAACATCCACTCAATGTGCAGCGGCAGTCAAAAAAGTGAATAGAATGTTGGGACTCATTAAGAAAGGGATAGATAATAAGACAGAAAATATCATATTGCCTCTATATAAATCCATGGTACGCCCACATCTTGAATACTGTGTGCAGTTGTGGCTGCCCCATCTCAAAAAAGATATATTGGAATTGGAAAAGGTTCAGAAAAGGGCAACAAAAATGATTAGGGGTATGGAAAAGCTGCCAAATGAAGAGAGATTAATAAGACTGGGACTTTTCTGCTTGGAAAAGACTATTAAGGGGGGATATGATAGAGGTCTATAAAATCATGTTTAATGTGGAGAAAGTAAATAAGGAAGTGTTATTTACTCCTTCTCATAACACACAAACTAGGGGGGGTCACCAAATGACATTAATAGGCAGCAGATTAACAACAAACAAAAGGAAGTATTTTTTCACACAATGCACAGTCAACCTGTGGAACTCCTTACCAGCGGATGTTGTGAAGGCCAAGACTAACAGGGTTAAAAAAGAACTAGATAAGTTCATGGAGGATAGGTCCACCAATGGCTATTAGCCAGGATGGACAGGGAAGGTGTCGCTAGCCTCTGTTTGCCAGCAGCTAGGAATGGGTGACAGGGGATGGATCACTTGATGATTATCTGTTCTGTTCAATTCCCTCTGGGGCACCTGGCATTCGCCACTGTAGGAGGACAGAATACTGGGCTAGATGGACCTTTGGTCTGACCTAGTATGGCTGTTCTTATGTTCTTATATAACAAAACTGATACAACTACTGGAGAGTCTAGGCAGCTTTGAAAGGAGCTTAGGCCTGTGGAGATAAAAACTCAACTTGGTCCATTTTACCTTAGATTGTTTTAAATTACAGGTTTTTCAAAATTCTGATTAACTGTCATTTTTGCAAGGTTCCTGGCTTCTCTTCAAATCTTTCCCGATTGATTTTTGGCATGGAGTCATTATGGGGAATAACTTTACTATTTTGGAACATATTGTTCTGCAAGTTCAATTTAAGGTACCAATCCTGCAGCTGACTGCCTGGGCACCAAGCCCTGCAGACCTGGAATCAGTTGCAGAATTGGGATCTTAATATTTCAGACCACCTTGTTACCCTTCAGTTCAGATACCTTCAATTAATGGTATATGTTATTTTATTTCAGATAATTTCTTTTCAATTATTTACTTATGCTGCTCTAACCATCAGATAAGTATCATATCTAGGTATCCACTGTTCTATATTTTTTCATACACTTCTAATGATTAATAAAGTCCAGTATCAATTTATTACATCCTACATATTTTCATCTAACCGCATCTCTCTCAAAGGTTTATAAAAACTATTAGTTCTAGCAACTGATATATTAACATTTACTTTCAGTTAATAGTTTAAAACATACTAATATTATTCTGGACCAAACAAACAATTTTCAGATCCAAAAGAATATATTTGAAAAAAAGATTCTGATTTGAACACTCCTAATTGGAATACTGGTGGGCAGATATAGGATATTAATTAAAAATTCTAAAATACAACTTTCACAGAAAGCTGCAAATTCATTTAAATTAAATGAGATTTTATTTGCGGGATATACTATACAAGTGTCACTTGAGTGAGAAAAAGAGACTGCTAGATACCTGTTTCGGTGGGTACAATCCACCCATGTCACAGCTACCCACTATGTTTGGGGTTTGAGCCCTGTATCCAATAAAAGTAATGGATGTTGATGAAAGAATAGTTAGAAAATATTTGTGGCATTCATGATATTTTGATATCAGACATTTATTCAATGATTTTTAAGGTACAGTGTCCGACTTCAAAGAATTCCCTCACAAGAGGGAACCCACAGCAGGAACTGAACTAAAATAAAAAAATAAAAATGAAAAAATAAACAGTACTTACATATTTATAACCCCATCTAGACGATGTTTTGAACAAAGCTGCTGGCTGCTCTTGTCTTGTTTATGTTGATTCTGCCCCAACTGAACAAACCTATGGAGTAGCAGTGGATAAAAGTATAAGTCATAAAGAGAGCAAGAACTATTTGCAATAACTTCAGTGAATTAATGAAAATGACAGTTCTGTACAATTTGAAGAGTCATGCAGTTTCAGTAAGTCACACTGAGTACATTAAAGGACAGCTGGAACACTGACCTCACTTAACACAAAAGTGAGAGTCATGATGATTAATACACTTAACTTGGTCTAGTTTTTTTTTTTTTTTTTTTTGCTTTTAAAACTTTAGTTTGGGTACATTTTGGGCCCCTTTCACTTTAGCTAGGAGGTCTTGCCCACTGGTAGGTTTTGCTCACTATTTCACAGGCAGCAGATGGGGCCATCAGCAAGAGGAGATAGAGTTAACTGCTCTTTCCAACAGCATGAACTCCCCATAGAAGACCTCTAGGAGGAGAGAGAAAGAGGAGCACACCTAGGTGTCACTATTGGAATTGGGTGGTAGGGCAGTTGTAGAAAGAAGCAAGCTAAATAGATGGGAAGTTGGCTCAAGTTCCATGAAGATAAGTCTGATCCTGACCTCTCTCCTACTTGAGTTGCATAGCTGTGAAAAGCTGCCCTCCCATTTCACTGGTTTCAGCTATTTAATTGGACAACCCTTTGATCTGCCATCAGAAGGATATGCAATGTGTCTTCCTCCTCTATCCAGTCTATACTCTCAGAGTAGAGGATTTCCTCTGCTCCCACAAAAAGCTTGTGAAAAGGAACTGAGGACAGAAACACACATATTGGGTTCCCTCCAGGCAGCAGATGAAAGGGAAATCAGTAGAAGAGCTGAGAAGGATGAACCAGGCTAGGGGCTATGTAGGGAAAATGGGAGGGAACTCAGTAACTCCATTGCATATGGCAGACTTGAGCTCTTTAGCAACAGCATTCTCCCTGCCCCAGCCTCAGTAAATTTAAGTCATGATCTTATACTTGATTTCCTAAAAAGAGGCTTTTTAAAAAAAATAGTCTATAATTTGCATATAGTCAAATAATATTAGGACCGATTCTTTTTAAACTAAACTAAACTAAGAACATATCACATGAAGAGAGAGACTATGGTGAATTAAATTTCCCCTCACAATTCAGAGATGGTTCACAACATAATAAGTAATGTAATTAGCCAGTCATTACACATCGTAAAGCAAATCGAAAGCTGCACAGCTGCATTTCAACGCATGGCTTGTAGTTATTCACTTGAAAAACATGTATGTCTAAGTTTTCATTATGAGGTGTAGTTTTCTATTGCCCAGTGCTCCATTAATTAATTCAAAAGTCTAAGCAGGTGTTTGAAACATTGATTTACCAGACTAGCGTAATTGATTTGCACACCATGTGACTGGGTAAGCAGTTGCTCTCTTAGCAACAGCATTACAGGCCTTTAAAAATTAGAAGAGACTTTAATGTCAATCTAAGTTTCCCTGACTGCCTTCCTATTATTTTGCTTTTCTGACTATAATTTACTAACATAAAGGGCCCAGTTCAGGAAACCAAGCCTGCTCAGGACAGCACTTAAAGTTAAGTAAGTGCTTAAGTCCATCTCTATTCATGACAAAACTTAAATATATGCTTAAATGCTTTTGCGAATTGGATCCAAAGTACTTCCTTATAATGGTGATACAGAGTAAACTATATAGTTACTATTTCATCAAACCATGATATTGGAGTCCCAGTCAATTTGGTTTCAACCATCTCCTATTAAAACTATGAAGTATTTGTACAAGAAAGTTATCATTTAAAATCTTCGTGCCACTGTTATTATGAGTTACCCTCCTAGTTTGGTCATTTCCCCCCACTTTTCCACTAGTAGCCTGTATGCCAGATTTAATAATTGGTTCCAGTCTCAGATGAAAACCAGCAATCTTAAACCTTAAGATAGTTGCCTCTGATGAGACAGAAAATGCCTAAGCAGCTTCTGAATGACCTGGCATATAGCAAAAAAGGCGTAAATATTTGAAGAAAAAGGTTGAATACCAACCAGAAACATTTTTCCTGGAACAGTCACAGCCAAACAAAATTTTGTATAAGAGGTTATAGCTAACACTTGTGCCTCTATGCAGAAGACAGAAACAAAATAGTTTTCTTACCAAAAAAAGGTTAATTTATGTAATTGTACTTGCATTTTATAGCAAAGACTGTTTAACGGATGAGAAATTTAAATTATTTAAAAAAAATATTCTCGGAAGTTGCAGAACTCTGAATGTTGACATTTTATAAATTAGTGTAATTCAACATTTGAGAATAAATGTGAAAAACTGCAAACTATGTACTTGTAAATTAAAGAGCCACTATTAATTTGAGTTTGTCCCTTGTTCTTGGAAAAATGTTAACTGATATTTCACTACAAGTCCATTTGATTTAACTATCAAATTCTGCACTTGGAGGCATCTGCACAGCTCCACATTGAAGATAAGAGAATTGCGTGCACACGTACGAGAGATGAAGAGTTTCATTTTAAAGACACAGAATAGTAAAATACTACCAGCTTCAAGTTACCTCTAGTGCTAGTGCCATACCAGAACAATGTTTAAATAAATTCTGAAGAAAAAGGAGCAATTTCTTACAGAGTATTTAACTAGCTCCAATCATCATTTACTGATTATGACTGAGAATGTTCTTACCTTGTATATATTGTGAGGTCATCATCTGAAGGAACATCTGAGAGGTTAATCCCATATATATCTTTCATGGACTGAACTATGTTCTGGGGGGAGGAAAATACAACCAAAGTAAGTCTTTCAGAAATAGAATACTATGCTAATTTCCAAACAAAAGTTTATTGGATATAACTGAATTCTTTCTAGATCAGAAAAAAAAGCGCATTTTAATCAATGCAAATAAAACTAATAAAAAAAAGCCTCTCCTGTACTTCCTGCCAACCTTTCTAGGCTTATACTGAATCTTGTAAGAAGAATTTTTTTAGATGTATTCTTCATTTTATTTGTTCACTAAGAAAGGAAAATGTTACTGTAATAGACACAATATGCTAGCATATGGTATAATCCATCAATCTGGAAAGAACCTGAGATTTCTTTTATTGCTAATATAAAATAATACAATATAAAAAGATTTGTATAAGTAATTCATATTTGTGGATATATTACAAGTTGTATGCTTTTATGATATTTTATTTATTTTTAGTTTAGGAAAGAAAACATTATACAAGTCATTTACAAAAACCTTTCACCATTTATCTTTAATCTTTTTGGTCTATACTACGTAAAGAAAACCCCTAATTTTCTTCAGACTAAAATTATTTTAATTTCCATTATAGTTTTAAAAAGTTACATGTTCATGAAATATACAGGTCCAGTGGAACAGGGTGCTGATGTGTGTTTTAAACCCCTTAAAACTGACAAGGGTCATGTGACTGCAGGTTGCAAGCAGTGCCTGCTATAAAACAGAGACAACCTATCCTTAGTAGTGAAAGACCCAGAATCAGAGATGGACTAGGGAGAGTTGGATGTGTCCTGGCAAGGAAAGTATTTCTTTCCAAGTGTTTTGTATTACATCAAGTCTTCTGTATTGTCCATTGTTAACAAAACCTGTCCTGAGGAAAGGGATTTGGAACCTGACTCAATCATTTAGATATTTTTTGGACTACCCAGCTGGTGAATCTGCCACCAGCCTACATAAAGGTATAAATTAGGTATAAAAATCACATTAGCAGATAACAGAGGAAGTGTCAAATCCAAACAGTTCTCATTTACTATTTTTCAGAAAAGTCTTTTAAAAAATATTACAACAAGAACAACACTAAAACAATTTTTGTTATTACAGATAGTCTGTCTGCTTTGTGTTACCGTAAGATTTAAGAAAGTGTGATTAATTTTTGCAATTATAAGAAGAATAATTTGACTTCTTTAGCACCTCCCCTCTAAAGATCAACATATTTTGTAAACTTTAATTAAGTAAACTTCACAACATGTGACCTAGATAAACATTAACCCTACTTTACAGCTCTTATTAAGCCTGTAGTATTTACAAGCATCACCATAGCCAATGGAAGGTGACATCCTTAAAATGTTAATGTTGAGAAACTGTCTAAATATGCATGCTCAAAGTTGCTAACTTTAAACGTTCATAACATTAAATGTAATTAATTTTCTTCAAATTCAGCTTTTTTTATTCACAGCAAAATTTATAAAAACAAGACATGTTTGAAGTTAGAATCATAGAATATCAGGGCTGGAAGGGACCTCAGGAGGTCATCTAGTCCAACCCCCTGCTCAAAGTAGGACCAATCCCCAACTAAATCATCCCAGCCAGGGGTTTGTCAAGCCTGACCTTAAAAACCTCTAAGGATCGAGATTCCACCACCTCCCTAGATAACCCATTCCAGTGCTTCACCACCCTCCAACTGAAAAAGTTTTTCTTAATATTCAACCTAACTCTCCCCCCCCGCAAATTGAGACCATTACTCCTTGTTCAATCATCTGGTACCACTGAAAACAGTCTAGATCAGGGGAGGCCAACCTGTGGCTCCGGAGCCACATGCGGCTCTTCATAGGTTAATATGTGGCTCCTTGCATAGACGTCAACTCTGGGGCTGGAGCTACAGAGGCCAACTTTCCAATGTCTTACAGGGTGCTCACTGCTCAATCCCTGGCTCTGCCCCAGGCCCCGCCCCTACCCCTGATTCTGCCGCACCCTGGCTCCTCCCCATCTGCCAAGCCTCCTGCACACCCCAAAACAGCTGATCGTGGCGGGCGGGAGGCGCAGGGATGGAAGGTTAGGTGCTGATCGGCGATGCTGCTGGCTGGTGGGAGACAATAGGGGTTGGAGGGGTAGCTGACGTGTTACTGTGGCCCTTTGGCAATGCACATTGGTAAATTTTGGCTCCTTCTCAGGCTCAGGTTGGCCACGCCTGGTCTAGATCCATTCTCTTTGGAATCCCCTTTCAGGTAGTTGAAAGCAGCTATCAAATCCCCCCTCATTCTTCTTTTCTGCAGACTAAATAAGCCCAGTTCCCTCGGCCTCTCCTCCTAAGTCATGTGCTCCAGCCCCCTAGTCATTTTTTTTGCCCTCCGCTAGACTCTTTCCAATTTTTCCACATCTTTCTTGTAGTGTGGGGCCCAAAACTGGACACAGTACTCCAGATGAGGCCTCACCAATGTGGATTAGAGGGGAATGATCACGTCCCTCGATCTGCTGGCAATGCTCCTACTTATACAGCCCAAAATGGCATTAGCCTTCTTGGCAACAAGGGCACACTGTTGACTCATATGCAGCTTCTCATCCACTGTAACCCCTAGGTCCTTTTCTGCAGAACTGCTGCCTAGCCACTCTGTAGCAGTGCATGGGATTCTTCCGTCCTAAGTGCAGGACTCTGAACTTGCCCTTGTTGAACCTCATCAGCTTTCTTTTGGCCCAATCCTCTAATTTGTCTAGGTCCCTACCCTCCAGCATATCTACCACTCCTCCCAGGTTAGTGTCATCTGCAAACTTGCTGAGGGTGCAATCCACGCCATCCTCCACATCTTTAAGGAAGATACTGAACAAAACCGGCCCCAGGACTGACCCTTGGGGCACTCCGCTTGATACCAGCTGCCAACTGGACATGGAGCCAGTGATCACTTCCTGTTGAGCCCGATGATCTAGCCAGCTTTCTATCCACCTTATAGTCCATTCATCCAGCCCATACTACTTTAACTTGCTGGCAAGTTCCCAGCTTCTGACATTTGAATCATCTTGGTTCAACAATTTTTAGTTTTTTTCCACATTTCCATAACTTAAACAAAGATTCAATTTTGATGATACTTAAAAAATAAAATAAAAACCAAAGAAAACCAAAAATCACTATGGGGTGAGATGAGACCAAGGCCGTGTAAAAAGAGGGGCAGAATGAAAACAGGTATTACATACTAACTGTATAAAGCATTATCAACATATACCAAATACGTGCATTAAAATGTTCACAATTAAAACTAGAAGTCTATCTTTATGAATGCTAGCTACATTTAATTAGCTTTAATATAAAAATAATTAGTTCTACACTGTACTAAGGATTTACTAGATGCAGATATGCCAGATATAAGGATTTATTTATTTGTAGAATAGATAGTGCTTAGGTAAGTTTACTTTATTTCTTCTGACTTTGTTACCATTGCTACCTCATAACTCAAAGCCCAAAACACACAAATATTTGATTGTCCTGTAATAACATTATTTACTCAAGAATGCACCCGAAGTATGTGCAGAAAATAGAGATATTTTAAAAATTATAAACTACATTGACAACTAACTGACACTTCAATCAATGTCAAAGTCGTCCGTTTTTCTAGTTTAGAAAACTTTGTATCTACACTGGTACATTAGCGTTCCTTTTTAGTATAGGTACTATTCAAATGATAGGCATTTCTGCAAACAGAAAATAAAATTTAAAAACTCTGTTCTTTATGGAAGTTGAAACAAAATATACTTCTGTTACATTCCTGTGGTTCACAGGTTCTCAAAAATAAGAGTTTCTTGAATTAGATATTTTTTAATCCTTTTCAGTCATAGCTAACTGCATAAATTATTTCCTACTATATTATTAGCTCAGCCCTCATGTTTCAAAACCCTGCATTATAGCCTCTCTTTGGATAGCTGCATGATGGGACCCATGACAAATAATGGCTATTGCTGAAATGTTAATTCCAAAATACTCTCTCAAAAGCCCATATCTGATGCTCCAATTAACTCAGTTATGGAAACTAACTGCATTGTGTAATCTATTCTAAACCAAGATCAACTAGTGAATATACACAGGTTTGGTGTCTAACATATTCTTTTACATTTGATCTCTGCACAAAAAAAAGCAGCATAATTATTACCTTTATATATAAAATATGCTCCAAAGATAGTTTTGTGCTTTTGAGGTTTATAATGGAGGTCACAAATACTAACAAAGGCCCAAGTTTTGCAATGGACTGTGAGTGGGCATACTGGGGCCCGTGGGCAATCATTCACAGCACTGTGGTCTTGGTAGTAAAGTTACACAAATTAATAATTAAATTCTCAGTATGTTTCAATAGACATAAGGGTACTAAGAAAGCAAAATATGACTCAATATTGTTATTAACAATGAGAATAAACTAATTTATTGCTGATTATAAACCAATACAGCTTAAAATGTCTTAAGTAATATTTTGCATTTACATACACCTTTCATTAAAGCATTTCAAAATGTTTTACAAAAATGTATTCAGGCTCAGTAAGAGGGAGGGGAGGATTATATCCATTTTATAGATGGACAAAATGAAATGAAATCACTTGCCCAGATTGCACAGCACCTCATGAACAAGAGTTGGTGATAGTGCTCAAGAGTCGTGACTCCTGGTTCCTTGCTACAACCACTGTAAAAACCCCTTCTTTTCCATTGGTCTAAGACACTTACTCTCCATTATTCTGAGACACAGCCCCAAAATTAACATCACAGTATTTCAGAATTATTGCGTCAAATAACACAAACTGGGCTTGGAAAAATTTACGCCTTGTATATATGGCTAACATTCATATATGAGAAGTCAATCAGTCTATAAAACAATCTTGAGTTCACTGATATATTGTTGAAATTGTTCTGGAAAAGAAGTAATTTTAATCTTCACTGTTATCAAGCAACACACTTTTAGCCAAGTGTAGGATATTTTCGCCTATAATCATGTAGGCATTAAACATAAACATACTAAAAATACAACAAATTAAAGTTTATGTTAATAGATT